CTCCAAGTACCTAAGCTGGTGCTGGGAGCCACAGCACTTGTCATAAGGCCTCACTGTGCTCCTAGGCGGAGCAAGGACAGCTACCTTTGAAACGATAGGAGCCTCAGTATTCTGATTCTGTGGTGTCCCGACAGCCACTTTGAGCTACATCCTAAATAGTACAGAAACAGAAAGGTCTTGAGTGGGTGTGGTGGCTCATGCCTGTAATCTCAGCACTTTGAAAAGCCAAGGTGGGAGGATCGCTTTAGCCCAGGAGTTTGAGACTAGCCTAGGCAACATAGTGAGACCCCATCTCTTAAAAAAAAAAAAATACCCGGGTGTAGTGGTACATGTCTGTAGTCCCAGCTACCTGGGAGTTTGTCTTGAGCCCAGAAGATCGAAGCTACAGTGAGCGGAGATGGCACCACTGCACTCCAGCCTGAGCAACAGTGAGACCCTGTCTCAGAAAAAAGAAAAAAAGAATAGGCCGTTTATTTCCAGTGACCCTCCTTGCTGACCCAGATGGTAACAGCACAGTGCATGGGGCCACCTCTCTCTTGTGCTTTCTTCCCTGTTGCGTATGGATGCCAAGATCCTAACTATTGCTCACTCAAGTTGAGTAACTAACCTGAATCCCCTGGACAAATCTCTCCTGGTATGATCTTTAATTCCTTAGAGGCTGGGACATTTCTCAGGGTTTGATATGATTTTTTCACCCTGCAAAGACCCTGACCAAAGAGAGGTAAGGTTCTGGGAGCCTCTCTCTGCTCTGACATACTTGGTTAGCATGCAGTTCTGGAAGAAGCTGAGACTGGTGCCCTCCTCTGGGACCTTGGGGCCGTGGTGTTCTCTCAGCACCCATATTGACGTGTCCTGAGAGACGTTGGAGGGGCCGTTTGTACCTTCTGGCCTGGGGCAGCCAGAAGTCTGGCCAGGCCTCCCGGACTTAGCCGGATGTGAGTGTGTTGGCCTGTCCTGCCAACTGGGAGCTGAGAATAGCGGAATAGGGTCAGGGGGTGATGGGAAAAGCACCAGTTGGCTGCTCTCCTGGGTGGTGGGGCAGTGAACAGAGGAAACATGATGGGGGGAGGTGCTGTAGAAATGGGCAGTTTGGAGAAGAACTTGTATGTATTTTGCTTCTATTTTAGAACTGGTGTCACTGTGAGGCTTTACATGCTGTGTTCCCTGTGCAGGACACAAGGAAGGTGCCGGCTACTTCGAGTGGCCAGGCCTTGACAAGAGTGGGTGGAGATCCCACCCCTGGTGCCTGGAGCCCCCAGGGATGCGGTGCAGGCCAGCTGCAGACAGCTTTGCTCGAGCAGTTGCATCTCCTCTGTGTCATAGAACAAGTGCTGTTGGCTCTTATTTAAGGCAAGGGGGCTTTGTGGTGAGCGGTGGAGCAGGGTGGGGGCCTTGGTTTCTCCATCAGGGAGTTTTAGAAGCTCCTGGTGAAAACGACTCATTCCTTGTTTTGTGTGGTTCCCCCAGGGGATGACGTGGGCTGCATCCCCAGTGTGGAGCCCGTTCTTGGGGCAGGGCTTCCTAGGAAAGACAGTCCACACAGGGAGGGCGGTGTGTTCCTTGGCTTCATTCAGGAAATGCAGCTCTGTGCCTACGTGCCCGACACATTTTACAATGTGTAGAGAGCAGAGAATGAAACCCACAAGCCCCCCTCCTGAGGAGTGAGTTCTGGTTGGGGAGACAGCATTAGGCAGCAGGTCAGGGGTTGGAGTGCCAGTGGGCTTGGAGTCAGGGATGGCTTCAGTGAGAATGTGACACTTGAGTGGAGACCGATGGAGTAAAGGAGGCTTGGGGTGTCTGCAGAGAGTTCGTGGGCAAGGGCAAATGCCAGGGCCCTGAGCACAGCTGAACCTGAGTGACTGGGCACAGGAGGTGAGGTCACAGGAATGTGGGTGTTGCAGGCCCATGGCTGGGACTGTCCAGGTGGGAGTGTGGGGAGGGGTAGGCAGAGGGGCCAGTGCTCTGGGTGTCTTGGGCCTGGTGGTGCTGAAAAGGCCTGAATTTTGGACATCCCTGCAGGTGGAGCAGACAGGATTTGCTGATGGTTTAAAGTGGATTGTGAAAGAAATAAGGAATCTGGGATGGTGTTGCTATGTTTGGCCTGAGCAAGCTTTGGGACCTGAAAGAACCAAGTTGCCGTTACTGATAGAATGTGGAGTGAGAGGGTTTCCGTGGTAATGAAGTGTTGGGGCTGACTAGGACAGTTGGCTTGTGGTGATCACTTGGTATCCACATGCACTGCAACTGGGGTGCTGTGGGCATCTGCAGAGTGCAGGGAGGTGGGCACTGTGTGCTTCTCGCCACTGGAACACTCTGGGGGGACTTGGCACTCCTTCCCTGCCCTCCTCTCCCTCTGAGACAGCCACTGCTCTGCCTGGACGTGCACCTGTGACTGGGTCTTCGTAAGGTGTGCAGGGCAGGCCCATTCACAGGGAGGTTTCGCTCTGGGTGTTGGGTGTCTGTCAGGGGTCTGGACGGGCAGGGGCCTGAGTTAGAGTGCCTCTAGTGCACTGAGTCTCCAGCACAGGGCTACAGCTTCTCTCAAGCCCTGGCAGTCTGGTTGGACTACAGAATCCAGGACTAGCCAGAAATATATTTCTTCTTTCTTCTTCTTCTTCTTCTTTTTTTTTTTTTTTTGAGACAGTCTTGCCTTGTTGCTCAGGTTGGAGTGCAGTGGCGTGATCTCAGCTCACTGCAACCTCTGCCTCCTGGGTTCAAGCGATTCTCCTGCCTCAGCCTCCCAGGTAGCTGGGACTACAGGTGTGCGCCACCACGCCTGGCTAATTTTTGTATTTTTAGTAGAGACAGGATTTCACCATGTTGGCCGGGCTGGTCTCGAACTGCTGACCTCATGATCCACCCACCTCGGCCTCCCAACGTGCTGGGATTACAGGTGTGAGCCACGGCGCCCGGACCCCTTATTTTCTTTGCTTAAACATAATGTGATCCTAAGAGATGCGCTCCTGCCCAGGTCTCCGCCTGCAGTTTCCTCTCAACAGCAGGGGAGTGAGCAGCGTTGGGCAGGGCGTTTTCTGCTCTGTGTGCGTGGCTGGAAAGTTTGTGTGAGGGTAACAGCACCCACTCTCTGCAGCCTGTGCACGTCGGGCGTGGTTCGGCTTCACATCAACAGCTGGCTGGAGGTGAGCTTCTGCCTGCCCCACAAGATCCACTATGCGGCCTCCAGCCTGATCCCCCCCGAGGCCATCGAACGCAGCCTGAAAGCCATCCGGTGAGTGCCCAGCCCCACGTGCCCACTCCTGCCAGGGCCCTTTGCTTTAGCTTCCGCCTGAGATTTTACCAGTTAACTTTGTTCCAAAAATTCTCTTTTCTTCGTCCCTCTGCGGAAGCTGGCAGGTGGGGCTCTGCTGTTTATAGATGTTAAAACACATAGTTTTGTATCCAGTTGTGTCCAGAAATGACCAATCCCAGGTTTCCCCTGGGCCCTCCTGGCACCACCTTAGGCCTGGGCAGGGCAGCCTGGATGTGGGGCTGAGTGTCCTGGGGGAGGCTGGAGGGCTGAAGGGACTTCAGCTTGATGGTGTTGCCCCCACCCCAGTCTTTTGCATTTCAGTCAGCTCTCACGGGATCTCAGTTACTTTCTTTTTCTTTGTGTGTGTGTGAGAGAGAGAAAGACAGAGTTTTGCTCTTATCGCCCAGGCTGGAGTGTAGTGGCGCGATCTCGGCTCACCACTACCTCTACCTCCTGGGTTCAAGCGATTCTCCTGCCTCAGCCTCCCAAGTAGCTGGGATTACAGGCGCCCACTGCCATGCCCGGCTAATTTTTTTGGTATTTTTAGTAGAGACAGGGTTTCACCATGTTGGCCAGGCTGGTCTCGAACTCCTGACCTCTGGTGATACGCCCATCTCGGCCTCCCAAAGGATACTTTCTTAATTTAATTGACTTTGTTTTTTCATTCTTTTTTTTTTTTTTTTTTTTTATACAGAGTCTTGTTCTGGATTCGAGTGCAGTGGCGTAATCTCCATTCACTGCAGCCTCTGTCTCCCAGGTTCAAGCGATTCTCCTGCCTCAGCCTCCTTAGTAGCTGGGATTATGGGTGCACACCACCACACCTGGCTAATTTTTGTATTTTTGGTAGAGATGGGGTTTCACCATGTTGGCCAGGCTGGTCTTGA